TGATTCGCCGCACACTCTCTCTCAAGCTTCATTATCCGCTTCATCTCCGCCCGGCCAATCAGCTGTGCTAATACCCTCGAACCTTTTCCCAATGTCCCCCTTTTTCCCTCGTCGATTGGATAACCAATACAACCGACACACTTTCTGCCCTCAGGCATCGTCCCCATCGCCTTAAACAAGCACTTCTTACAGTACTCTGCTCCGCAGACGATGCACGCTTCTCTTCTTCCCCTCAAAAGCAGCCCTATGCCCCCCTTTCCACATCTGTTGCATTTTCTATTCGCATTCAAACTGTTCGAATTGGAACTACATCGCACTTCGATTTCAGGAGGCGTGAAATCGTCCTGATCGCTATGATCGCCGACCGTGGGCTCGGAATCTCCGCCGTCGCAGGCGCAGTCAAAATCGATCGACCTCATGCTGAACTGTTCGATGTCGGAGGTTGCAGTGACGGAGCCTGAGCGGGATTTGAGCCAAGAGGGGTTCTTCGGTGTGAGCGACGGTGGCTGTTTGGGGAAAGCGGTGAATCTCGCCTTCGGGATTGCGGGGTTGCTGATCGGCGGCTTCTTGTAATATGGGGAGGGACCGACGTAGTCGAAGGAAATGGAGTAGTCGAGCTCGTCCTCGTCCGGCAATGGCGCGCCGTCCGGCAGCAATCTCCGTAACAGTTCCTCCCAGGAATGGCTGGGCTCCTCGCTTTCTGGAGACGACGCCATTAGTGCGTGCTCTGTGTGCGTTTGTGAGACAATGAAGATTTTTATTATTTGAACATGAGGGATTTTTGCGTTACTGACGATGAGTGACGTTACGTGGAGAGAGTGAAATTTGTTTTGGTTTGCTCGACAAAAATGGAGAGAGAGAGAGAGAGAGAGAGAGAGAGAGATTACATTAACAATCTCTGGTCATTCTCTCGTGCTAATTGGGATTTATAATCAATTTTCTATCTGATTTGGCTAAATTTGCCTTTTTCTGCAAACAATTTACTGTTTTGGTAGGTTGCGAAATTACCTTTGCTTGTGTCTGTTATTAAAATTGGTTAGATCCATAATCTGAGTTTCTATGAAGTTTGACTAATATGGGACTCGTACGATACACGAGATGTATTTATTTTGAAGAATATTAAAAATTAAAATGTATTAATAAATAAAAAGTGATAATTCGTAGGAAATTATCAAACCATAAATTGTTCCTCACGCAAAAATATATTATTTAAAACTTTCTTGTACAGAACATTATTTGTTTAAAAATTGAGCAACTTGTGTCCCCACAAACTAATATTTTCAACATTTTTCTATTACTTACACACGAAACAAACAACATAAATATCTGTGACTAAAAATTATTTTCTGTAAAGACATGCCAACGTACAATAAAGGTTGACCTTAACTTTTCTTTATCTGTTACTTACACGCGTAACAACAACATACAATTGGTCGTGATAAAAAAATAGATATTTTTAAGAACATGCCATTAATGCACAACTCTTATCTAATACTGCACATAAAGACTGACCCTGATCTTAAAAGGAACTCAAAGATTAGAAGTAACTAGTGCTCTGGAACTTAAATGGAATATTAAGATGGATCTTTTTATAATATGATAATTTACTTAATCAGTCAGACGAATGAGCTATTGTTTTAGAGGATGCTTGGATACAAATCTATCCAAAAGAATCTAATCATATTTAACGCAACTCAACTACCTTCAATATTATCAATATAACTAAATAATATCAATCAATCATTCTTATACACCACATCAACATTAATTCACTATTCATCCACTCGCATAATTCTAATTAACAATCACATCAAATCATCTCTCTCCTACTTTCAAACCAAATCACCTTTAATTATTTTATTTTAAATATTATTTCAATACACCAACTATCAACTAATCACATCACTTTTTTAAAATTAACCAAACCAAACCAAAAAATACAAATAAATCCAAAAATTTTTATATACAAGCATATCATTTTAACATCGATTATACTTTATTAGTTAAATAATATTCACTAATATTTCTATATTTTTTTTATACAAAAAGACTGACCTTGACTGTTAAATATAACCCCAAAATCAGAAGGAATTGGTCTAAAATGGATATTTTTATAATATGATGATTTATACGGCAGTTGGACAAATGAGTTGTTAGTTTATCATTTTAATATCGATTATACTTGATTAGCTAAATAATATTCACTAAAATTCTTATAGTTTTTTATGTTATTTAAAAGAACCTTAAACATGTATGGTTAAAATATTAAAAACACTAAATTGTTATACAACATGTGTAAGATTATCTGAAATATTCTATATTATTCCTAAAAAATGTGAGGTCACCTTTCTAAGTTATTTTATAAGTAAAACATGTCTTAAAAAAATTCAACACCCATACATATATACACAACATGTTTAAAATATATAAAATACTACATGTGAATAATATGTAATAAACTCTAAAAAATATTAGTAATTATATCTATAAAAATATGTATGAATATTACAAAATATTAAACATACATCACGCTAATCTTATGAGAGATATTATATATAGTAGATATAAAATATAAAAACATTAGTGGTTAGACATTATTTCACGCTATTTTTTTTAAGCCAAACAATTTTTAATTGAATGTGTGAGAACTTTTTATATATTTTCAAGCTGAATAACTTTTAGTTGGATAACTTTCCTATTATATGTGTGACAATTTTTTATGTATTAAATATATATATATATATATATATATAGATTTTGCATATATATATTTATATTTTGTGCATACGAAAACGAAAAATTAATTTACTATATAAAATTTTGAAAATTTTCCTTTTAAAAACAATTGACAAAAAGAATACCAATTAAGGGATTGGTTTATATCTCAAAAAAAAAAAATTGTATATATGTCTCATATAAAATTGTTCATCTTCAAAATCTGCTACAATGTAAAACATAGTTAAATATTAATATAACTTTATATTTTGTGTATATGAATGTGATTTCAAATTGTTGGTTCTAATAAATATGATAAAATAAATAAGAATCCTCACAAATGAGAATTCTAAAATTGACGCCATGTAAATTTAAATATTACTATAAAATTGTTTTTTTTTTTTTTTTTTTTNNNNTTTTTTTTTTTTGTGTGTGTATATAACATATATGCTAATCCATATCATAATTCTAATAAATTTGTTAAAACAAAATCCTCCGTAAATGAGAATTCCAAAATCGGCTATATATAACTATTTACATAATCTTTGCCTACAAAACCACTATCAACGTATTTAAAGGAAACCAAGAATTGATTAAAACAAACACAAACCGAAAGCCGAGTTATATGAAAATTATGCAACTAATAATTTATTTTTTTGATTATATCATATCATAATATTTCCATCTATAGCTGGTAATTAATATTTTAGGCAGAAAATGCTCATAAAATGTTTGGGTCTGAAAAAATCATGTGTTATTAAAAACCTAATTGTAAACAACATTATTAGTTTGATTATTGAGCAACTTGTTATTCCACAAATTAATATTGTCAACCATTTTCTATTTGTATCACGCGAAATTGCAATATATAAGTGACCGTAACTAAAAACATGTTTTTTCAAGAATATGAAAATGTGCGATAAAGACTGACACTCACCCTTGTTTATCGTCGTGACAATATAAATGAATGTTTATCTCAAAAAATTAATCTTTTAAATGAAGTCATTGTGTGTTATTTTTTTTTTTTTTATTTCGTGATTGATGGACTTTTTTATTAAATATATAACAAATTTTGTTGCCAATCGTTTAGTTAATTTGTTTAAATGCATAAATAAAAAGAGACCTAAACTATGAAAAAAAGTTTCATCTTTTGAAAGCAAATAAATGATAAACATTATCTTTTAAAATAAACAATGACAATGATTATAACATTGTATTATCAAAACCGATAAGGTATATAATATTCGTTTTCCTTGTCAAACCGATAATGTAGAAAAAAATTCAATTGATGAATAGATGATATATACAAACCATGATTTTAGAAATCTGTTCAAAATTTTCTTTGCATGAATCCGACGCATAAATCATTCGACCTATTATTATATTATTAAATTATTTGAAACATGTATACACCCGATATTTGATTCCATAAAAACAGGGAATTGAATCCATCAACTATTAAATCAGTTATTCCATATCATTTGGCAATTAATGCGCCGAGATATGCTATCCCGAATTGTCAAATAATACTAAAATTAGGTAATAATTAATGCATGACGGGAAAAGATTACTAAAAATAATTTATGTCTAATCTTGTTTTATACATAAAGGTATAGTATTGATACTATGTACAACTGATTTTATTTGAAAGAACTATATTATTATATTGTTACATTTATAATATATTATTATATTATTTGGCAGAATTTTAAATTATATTATACTATGTACAATCGTATTATATTATTTGGCAAAATTATATTAAATTAGTAAATTAAATTATATTATACAATGTTCAACCGGCCTTAATCTTATTTATTCGACAAAATTATAAAACTAATTTGTAAATTGGTTGATTCCATGCATAAACCCATTTTATTTGAAAGAATTTGGAAGAATTGGAAAGAAATTAGATATAAATCTTAGAATGCAATATTTAAGGGAGTAAATTATTTGTTTTCATACGATTATTAAGGAAGTTATTTGCATCATAGTGTTAGATATTTTTTTTTGATAAAGAATTACTATAAATAGGTTGTATTTAATGCTGATGGCGGGAAATAGTTTCTAAAAGTGAATTATGTTAATCCTTATTATATATTAATAGATTAGAATTTAATGCAACGTGTAAAAAAAACGCATTTTTTTTATTTTTCTTGAAACGAACGCACATAAAAGCATAAATGTTTTACAAAACGTAGAACCAACTGGTCCCAATAAAGAAAAATACAAGGAGAACCGCAAAGAAGCGGCTTCAAATACAACCCAACAACAACCTAAACCAATTGAACACACTATGAACCGTAACAAAAGACAAACACAAATGCTCGAGACCTTTAGAAATAGACATACCAATACAACAAGAACAAAACTAAAAGAAAGAATAAGGAGAGAAAGGAACTGTGCCACTAAATTGGAGAACCTAGCCAGAGCCACCTTCAAACCTGAAAGAGCCTATATCATTAGCTTCCTGTTGGTGAACTCCTGCCATTCCCTGAAAGCTGACTGCAGGATGGTCTTCACAGGAAGCCACATCTTCTGAAAAACCCAAAGGTTACGAGTCTTCCATAGCCACCAAAGTATATAGGTTGAGTGTTGAATCTTGGCTTCTGAAATATCTGAATGATCAATAGTAGAGACCCACCACCACCAGTTCTTGAACTTGCTGCCAAAGGAGTGAAGATTCTCCAGTCAACATGAGAAGCTTTCCAAACTTGCACAGCTCGATTACAAAGGAATAGGAGATGCTCAGTAGATTTCTCCGTTTCACCACAACAAGGGCACATGCAATCTATAGTAAGAGCTCTACACCTCATATTAGTACTGGCAGACAAGTCTCTAGAGAAGCATTTCCAAAGGAAATGTTTGGCCTTCTCTTTGATGTTCAATTGCCAGCATCTTCTTATAGCAGCACAATCTTTGTCCCTAACATTGCTACTTTCAGCAAAGTCGAAGGAGACCAGTTTTCTCATAGACGATTTTGTTGGTGTTATATACTTAA